TGATTGTAACTTCTTTCAACGACTGACATTCAATTAACTGAATCGTTGTCAATCAAATTCAAAAAGACCGCGCCATGAAAATTTTTCGAACCATGTCCGGGTACGCATTGCACCATTACTTGTGTTGTAGTACGTTGGCCCGTATCAACGTATCGCATTCGTGATTGCTCATTTGATACTGTCCAAGATACAATATACCTGGTCATTATCATTACTGAAATATGGTTTCAGTGATCCCTATATCATTGGGGGACTCGATTCCATCTACTTTAGAGATGGCCTGTTGTGATTGTTGTTGTTCCCGCCGCCACTATACTAGCAACGATGTGTATCACATTGAGTTTTTGACTAGTTTTATTTGTTTATTTATTTTTTTTATCACTTTTATTATTCAATTAGGATGATGCCTGACACACACCGTCCGTTTACGGCATCTGCTATTATTGTGTGTAGGCATCTATACGAGTACATCGTGTCTCTCATGCACTCAGGTTGTAATTGTCAGCAGCAGTAGTAGTAGTAGTAGTAGTAGTACTCGTGCTGCTTCCATTTTTCACGTAATAAAATATTAGACGTATGAATATACACTAGTAATTGATAGAAATTACTTGTGGACACGGTGTGTCACTAGGATCGATTATTCGTGGCAATTTTTTTATAGTTAAAAAAGCAAAACACGATAGTATAGCAAACGGCCAACGTCGGAATGGTGTGGAGAAGTTGAGATTCTTAATATGACTAAGTTCGATATATATTCGTGTATACGCGTAGGGATAATTTTGGCAGGCGCTTCGTTACCTGATTCATATTTGGGTAGAACTCGTTTGTCTTGGAAGGGGACCACCATCATAACGAGGCAGCAGTATCATTAAAAGAACTAACAGCAGTTAGTAGCGCTTACTAAAGTTAAATAACATCGATAAATTATTCATCAGACACAGTTTCAACTTTTTGACACAAGTCCTTTTGGTATTGCCGGTGTTAATATTTCTGTGGCAGGCAATTTGTACCGGTCTAACGTTGAGTAAGGACATCTAAACTAAAATTACTATATCAGATCGAGGATATATATATATATATATATCGAACGCAAACAGGGACTTTACGTGTGTTGTTTTCTACGTACGATAATTGGTCGGGAGTACTTGGGTAGCAAGATGAACGAGTAGTGGAATAGCCAAGTTTATCTAGTGCCGTTCAATAATAACACAAGCTGATTGTTATTGCAATGCTAATATTCCAATTTGTTGAAGTTAGCAAATCTCTTGTAGATCAAAACAGTGACCACCATCCCAGATCTGGAAAAGTATCGAGGCATCCGTTTTGGATATGATGTCACTCAATTTCCATTCAAACCACGCTTTTTTTTTTATTTTGCTACCGCTAGAATACATGCATATTACACTGTCATACAAGATGAATTAAAATTACGTTTGGTATTTACTAAGTGCTATCACAAAAACGTCACTTTAACAATTGACTAAATTTTTCACAGTTACCGCGAACATGTGTACAATACTCGAGTGTTCATAAGATTATATAAAGAAAGAAACGTAATATAAATAGTTATCGCAAAATTGATGCTTTTTCTATTGCAATGTACTCCGCCAAAGGGTGTTGTACTGCTAAAGGGTTAGAGCGACAAGGCGGCTGACACGTATATAATTAAGAAATAAAGCTTTCCTAACACACAGTTGGTCTCTACGTGTATGTGAACAAACAGGTAAGACGATGGATAGCAAACCAACGATAGGTTTCGATTCGTCTTATTTTGCAAGGGGAGACATTAAATATATTTGATAGGTAAATGCGTCGTTTGAGCCTTAAAGGCCAGCCCTATTCGCTCTCTCGCATCGGCCGCGGTAGCGAACGCGAATTATCATTGGCCCTTGAAGGAGGATCATGAGTCGTTTAGAGCAACCCGGAGTGTGCAGATGTAGGAAATTCGCTCTGGAAGCGGCTCTCCCCTTTAGCCTCGCAGCGCCGAAGTCGAAACTCGGCCATTTCTCGAACAGCCACAACAGAACCGCTGTGGCACTTCGACGATTCGATTTCACCGGTTTCAGTTAGAGGTACATGTGAAAGCGGCGTCCTGAAAGGGCTGACCTTTGGCCAGAAGAGCTCGAAGTCGCTGGTTAAATTGCCTCTGTTGACATTTATCACACGACATATATTTCCAGCTAAAGCAAGGAAGCAATAGTATTTGGCGCCTAATATATTTCAAACGCAAATGTTAGTTACAACATTTGTTCTTCGGCAGTCGAGGAAAGCTACTCGTTTTCAAATCGAATGGACACTCGGCGCGTTTTCGATTGTCGTAAAGAAAACGATCGACCATTCTGATATAACGTATTTCTGGTCTCTTTTAATTTTGCATATGACTCAAACTTTCGGAACGCTTGCATACTTCTTACGGATAAATTTCCCTGGAAACTCATGGATGTCTCCGTGGTGATCTTCCAAATCATGATGCTAGTGACCTTCTGCATCTTCGTCACAATGAAAAACTTTTGTTCCCCATCCTTATATAGCTAACGTGTGCTTTGCACCTTTCAAAGCTGACGGATGTCCTATTTCAGTAAACGTTTTTGTCGTCCTAGTTTGCGATGGACCTATACGTGTGTTTTAAATGTACCTGGGTATATCTGTGGCTGAACGTTTTCATGTGTCCGTGTGATAGTTGTATCATTATACCAAGTTGACTATTCACTCGACGATTCATCAAACTAATACAGGCACTTGAAATAAGTGTGAAACTCTTTGACTGTCATTCTCTTCCACACACACACATATATATGTATATATATATATATATAATTCAACTTCCTCACATTAGTTTTTCCTTTCCGCTTTCGCTCTTCAGGCTATTCTATATTTGTAGAGCACACTATAGAAACACGCCGTTTTTATCGATAACGGCCAATGTCAAATCGTCCTTCCAATTATGTATTGTTCGTATTTCAAAGCAGAGGGATCCAGAGTTGAGTAGAGGCTACGGATGATGGGTCGATACTTCGATTATGAAATTTGTTCCTGTTTCAATTGTGTCTGATTTTCGTCCAGCCTTTCTGTGAAAATCATTGACCTTTAAATATGCTTTTTAGACATATGTGTGCCGTGTAGCAACCACCTATACACGTTTAACTGCCCAACAAAATGTTTACTTCCTTCTGTTATGAAACTCAGTGAAACTGACCCCTTGAATCAGCGTAATTATCTTCCAAGGATGATGTACTTTCTTTCTTCAAAAACAAATCAAAATCAATTAATGTTACTGCTATTGGTAGTACGTAATCCATTCAAGTGAGGCTATTACATCATTTTATAAGTTTGATTCCGAAACGAATTGTTGATGAGCCTGTGGCACGACAAGAAAAATGCTGAGTTTTAGGAAAACGTCGGAAAAGGCGTACAAAACGAAGTTCTTGGCTCCTTCATAATCAATAAGTTGTATATCTTAATAATAATGTTATGCTAAAACGCTAATGTCACGCTTGAATAGAACTTCCGATTTCGTCGTAAAGGATCCATTGCACCGTAAGTTTACGGCAGCCAAACAATTACGTGACAGCTGTCATTTTCACAGGCGTCTTGATTAGCACAACTGTTTTGTATTGTTCCATCGTACCACAAACATCAAAAATCGTCCCCCCTCGCGCCAATAGAAGGTTTGGTGTAGTTGTGGTCATATTCATATCAAATTCATAAGCACATTGAAAAAGTCTTGCAAAGATGAAAAAGATCACTAAACAAATCGAACCCATCAACGGCTCAAGCCCACAACACCTGGCAAGCCAGAGTACAGACGGGCAATGTAAAATCCGGGTTTCTAACAAGAAGTAAATGCTTGGAAAGATCGACAGCAGAGTTGTCGGAGCGCTTTGTTGCTGCGCTCAGAGAAATATCTGTCGCGAAGCCTGAACTGCCAGTTAGACTATACCTATTCTCAAGCTTTACACCAGCACGCCTATTCCATTGGAAACGAAATTTTACCAATAATAAACCCTATCGGTCGTTATACAACACGATCCATTGGAGTCAATTTCAATTCCTACGAGTATTTTATACGGTGCTGTTTACAAGTGACCTTTGGTTCTCACTCCTTGAATCTATTTTTCGTGTGTAAAGATGTGTATATATAGTTACAATACAGTTGTTATATACGATTACTGTAACTGTGTTAGTTATCATTATTACCGTAGTGACTAACAATAGGTGAAACTAGAAGAGTTATGTAATAATATTTACTATATATTATTGGTATCCATTATTTTTGTTAGTATTATATATACTTTATATATATGATACTAACTAACGCATCCTATGCCTGTTAGTCGCACGACACTATAGCCAGATTTGTGAAGGCTTAAACTGATATATATATATATATATATATATAATTGTATTTGAAAAGTGCGAAGTGTGAAAACGATATGATCTCTGGCTACATCGCCATTATTATCTGGGTTACGCTATTTTCTATTATAGTAGAAGTACTTCTGAGTACTATATTAGCTAGGTTCGCAGTAATAGGTCGTAATAGGAGGCTAATATTATTTCTGTTACTATCACTCGTATGAATATTCATTTTCGTTTCATTGCCCCCAGACGGGCCGCAGATTCACAGTGTTGCTGTTTTAGCTGTGAGTACGACTTATCCGACGCAGACAAGGTCCACGTGCCGTAAACGCGACGAAGCGCACGCTGAATGCGAGCGGACTTCGCCTGCATTCTACTTCCTAAGGGGCATGTCTACGTTCTAACACTGTTTCGCATGAAAAGTCTGCCGTGATTTTACAGATTCGGCTCCGTTTCTATTCCACTGAGTATCGCAGTTATCAGCGATGCTACGAGACTGCCTCCTGTCCTTGCAGGACAAATCATTAAGGTTTTCAGAAGCAGATGCGTGTAGAGCGTTTGGATTAATTCGGGCCTCTTGTTTGCTTCGTTGTTGCCGGCAGCAGGTCTGCCAATGCACACCAGGACCAATTACGAATTCCACATAAAATTCAGCTACGCTTGCCGTTCTTGAACTCTGAACGATTACAAGGACGCATAGCAATGCGTTGAACTCGAGGTTGGATCACTGAAACAGGCACAAAAAGAGCAGAGAAAAGTGGTCACTTGTATCGGAACATAGGGTGATATGCGACACCTATTGTTAAACTGATATTGTTTCAAACTTGCCGCCAAAAACCGCCAATTTGAAATATCGACACGTCATTATAACATGCAGCAGTCTCCGGTTTTTTTAATATCCACAGATGTAATGCCTGCTGATTGCATAATCTCCTCTGTATTTGTGTAAGAAAGCTATATTCTGTCAACGGAGAATTCGATATTATTGTAAACTGGTTTATCAAAATACAAGAAATACCAACCAGCATATAGTGCTAATTAATGAAGATCTGGACCAGTATGACTATAGTACAATGGATGAATGAAAATAGGAGGCAAAAACAATAAGAAATACAGTGACATTAGTAAATGGATTATTATCTAAATGCCACTCCTGTACCCATTAAGTCTGTAATCATACTGACATTAGAGAGGTACACTTGAACACTTGACACTATGTACACGTCAGTCTGTAGTTTTAATTTTAAGGTACACATTCTGCTTCAGTCGAACTTCAGTGTAGTATTGTCACAGAACAAGTATCCAAACAGGCTCGGAACAAGGTACAGTGGCACGAAGACGCACTCTCTATTCATGTCTGAGGTGACTTTACAGCTAGATTTATAATATGAGGCTTTACATAACAGTTTATATTGCTGTGAACAGGAAACGTGAGTATCAAAGCCTTTGAAGCGTCTGCCTCGCAAAGCTCTTACGTAAATGCTGAAAGCTTTCTCGATACTCTCTATGCCGTTGCAATAATAATATTGGCTAATACGTGTAATGTAGCTGATATGGAAAAAAAAACAACGTATCTCAAGCTGAACTTTTCAGCATGAGATACTATTTTTGTGTCCAAGATGTTTTTATGTTTACAGATGTCAGCAAAAGTTTTGTGAACGAGGTGTAAAGATAAAAGTAAATATAACAAAATTACATGGCTACGGAATGTTCAATAAGCGGCCTAGTTCGATACGGTATGATCCGGTGTTTGGCGCGCTTCAAGTAGCAATGCGTAGTGATTAATTCTCGGAGATAAAGAATAGAAATATAAATTTATAGTTGGTTACGGATTCAATTATACGACTTTTGTAGTGCTCTGAAAACCATTTACGGTAATTATACAATAGCTTGTCTACCTAGTCAACAGATTTCAACAAACCTCGGCACCGTGTTGAAGATAAGCTGTCCATATCAGTATTAATGAAAACTTCCGGCGTTTCGGTTTCCTTTTACGGGTACAAATTGGCATATGCTTCAGCATATGAACATTGATGCATCACGTATATTCAACATCGATTCAAATATAAAAACACTAGAGACGTTGTCTAGCCTCCATATTCGTTTCTTCATTGTCTCTTGTCGCCCTCTACATTGAGATCGGCATACGGTGCTATCAAGGACATGAGCATGCGGTTTGTAGAAATTGCCCCTACCGGATAGTCCTTTCACCATCAACTTGAAATCCTTCGTAATAATGCTGCGACAGGTTGCTCACGTACCGCTGAATGCATGTTTGCTATGGTGAAGGCTGAAGGACAATCCATTTAAGTGCCGCCCGTCGACTGTTCTATTGACATGAAAATAGGAATAATCGACTTGTTGTCATGCTTTACGTCTCATATAGGCGTTTGGTTTTTTATATTTGTGATTTTGCGCCCTTCCAAATTTTGTGTTGTACTACCATACTTCTGCGGCCCCTCGCTGCAGGGTAAGCGCCCCTCCTCCTATGGTACAAGGAAGGATTCTTCCGATTACTAAGTTAGTCAATATCAAAAGCTATGAATGGACGATTGCCTCGTATGAGTTGTTATTCCAATTATTCTTGCTTTTCTCGCTCAATCAGTTGCGGTACCATTTGTGTTCGCTTAAATAGAACGTCCAACATTAAACATCGAGTAAGCAACAATTGCTCTAGGCGTTTCTAGCCTTGGGCAGCTACAAGAACTACACTGCGGCAGCTGCGAAGACCAGGGATCAGGCAGTGAGCCGATGACAAGCTCATTCTCGCGGATGGTGGAAACGGGGACAAAGAAGGTGTTGTTGTTAGCATGAATCGAGTGACGATTGCGCGACCAATAATGGGGCAGTTAAAAGGCACGAAGTGTCCCTTGGTAACGTGTGGCACTCGCAGAGACACGCGCCTTGCACTGCGGCCTCCTCAGGCGACAAGAGGCTTTGCTCGTCTTCACGCGGTGACCCCGGAGTTCCGTTAATTTCTACGATATGACTCATTGTGTCGTTTAGGTGGGATTCGAAAACCTGCAAATGCCAGAGATACGCAAGTGGCAAATGTAAATATCGTATAATTGTGAGTTAGTTTTGTTTGAAAATATGTTTACATATCGCAACGTTCGTCTATTTAATGTTGATGCGTTCCAGAAACAAGACGAAATGCTTACCTATCTAAGATCTATTCTGCAAGGATCCGTTTTTTTTTTTTCTATATATATTACTCTGCAATGGCTCGAACGAAATCTTTACTCGCTCATAAGTGGCAAATAAGTTACAAGCAATAACCATAATACGGCAGTGTATTATAAGGTACTGGTTAGTATAAGATCACTGCCTGGGCAAGACAGCAAAATATGTCAGATTAGCGACAGAGCAAGCTCGGCATCTATGAACCAACTGCTATGAAGCAGAAAAGGCCGGCAAGTGCGTCGAGGGGTGTGCAGAGGGTCTATTGAAGAGTCAAAGCAAGAAGTGTAATAAAAAGAGGACGGATGGATAAGTATAGCTAAACACGAGGAGCATCTACGGTTGCTGCACTACAACATACGTGTATATATATATATATATATATATATATATATATATATATATATATATATGGTAGACCTGGAGACCTTATTGTTTGCTTTGAATCCTGTGAAGTAGTTGTAGTGAAGGCAAATTAGTGCTACACACCTTCTGTGTGTAGAAATGGCAGTCACAGTCACAGCCTCCACAGAGACACGCGCATGTGCGGCATTTACACGAGCAGGTTAACCGTCGCCTGCAATAGGACCACCATTTATGATCATAGTATAAGCCTCGTTTCTATGAACAGCGACGGGTGAAACGAACCAATAAAGCCTAGAGGACAAGGTGGACAGGGTAAGAGAAGGTGAAAGCGAAAGGGACAGATGGCTAGGAGAAGATGAACGCAACACGCCGATCACGTCCGCTGCGTTCATTACTTTGTTGAACACGTCACTTGCAACAAAAAAAATAAAGTACCTCCAGTAAGCGTGCTGTTTGCTTTATTTGAGTCACGACAAGGAGAGTTGGTGCAATCTATATCTGTAATTTGCAAGCGCGTACTTTTTTGAAAAATAACTGTTTACAAAAGATTTTAATAGTGAGGCAATAAGAGACATCGAGGAAAATTTGAATTATCGAAGGTCACCCAAGACTTGTGTTGCTAATCCGGTGTTTTTGAGGTCACGCGTGTATATACTGTTAAAGGACTTTTTACTACTAATTTGCTTAATTTTTTAAATTACTAGGATTGCTGTGCATCACATCTGTCCATTTCGGAAACAAACATTTTGTTGAGGCTATGATATGTATAAGTAAGGCATCACGTAACTACAATAATGCATCTTGTTTTCGAAGATGTTTTGTCGTTACTTGGAGCTTACCAGATTGATACAGAAATAAAAAAAGCGCAAGTGATCTGAATCTGAAAAACACTATGGTTTATTTGAAAACTGTATTATTATTATCGAAGAGGTAATTTCATTTTTGCTTCGTTAGCATTGACGTACATTCGCTAATTTTTCCCATGTTTAGTGAGAGAAATACATTTCAAAATAGGCGCCAATATGTCTTTTATGTATTTTTGATGTCATATTTGATTCGCATAGTTAAATAACATTTATTTAACCTATTATTAAAAGAATTATTAACGAGTCAAGTTAAGTTTCTGCGAGATTTATGGTGAAATTGAAACAGGGTCGACACTGTTGGCCATTTTTTTTAAAATTTTGAGGATGTTTTTTTTTAGTTTTCGAAGCAAAAACGTCATTCATTAAGACATTTTGAAGAAGAACGAACGCATTTGCCAAATATAATTTCTAAAGATGGTAAATATTTTGAACGCACAATAGCTAATAAGGCAAAAGATATATATAATTTTCGTTTTATATACGTAGCGAAGTATATACATAGTGAGAAAAATTTAGCCTCTTTTTCTATAACAAATTATATGCTTACGCTCGTTTTGAGATAAATGAAACGAAAAAATAATGGATTATCACTTTTTTGAAGGCACTCATCCTCGGCAATGACTTTTGCTCTACAGTTTTTTGCTCTAAGCGAAAAATTAAATACGCCTTGGCCTTAACGAAACGTCCGTGCGTTATCGCAACGTTATAGTATAAAAACCTGTGAATTGCCGAAGGGTCCTTTAAAAAAAGTGAAAAGGAAGCTTATAAAAAAAAGCAACGTAGTGCTTTTTGGCAGGGAATTTCGGTTAATGGTTTGTATTAGCTAAGCTCTAAGCAGTCGTATATTTCGCGAAGTCAATTTGGTTGTTAGCGATCGCTCGTTCCGCTCTGAGAGAAGGATGTAATTATTATTCGTAAATAAAGCAAGCTTGGCCGAAGGCCGTGAGGTGATGCTCGTAAATCGCTGCCTAAGCCTGCCATGCGACGATGTCCAGAGTTTCGAATAAGGTTGACTATTTCGGAGCAATAGAGGCTCTAACAATTTATAAAGTAGAGAAGACATTATTGAGAGACAATTATGCACAATATCGAATCTCCACATTTTTTCTCCTAGCATAGACCAAATTTCGATGCTCCTATGCCCAGTGTCTACGGGTTATTTCCATAAAGCTATATGAGCTGCTGTTCTTCTAGACACAAACGGCGCGACTCACACTCGGTATTTTAACATAAAACCCGTCTTGTTACATAGATCACAACGGTTTTTGTTGTAAGAAATCTTCGTCAACATTTGCAAAATATATGGCTTTATCTAGGAAGACACGTACGGGATCTTTTAGCGTTAAACGATGAAAAGAAGCAGCTCTACACACCTGAACGGGTCCTGGTAGTCTGACGGACTCTGGATTTCGTCTTCCGTTGTATCTGGCGGTCTGGGAGGTGATGCGGGCGAGAACTCAAGTGGGTCCGGAAAGAAACGTTGACCCAGGGCAGCGGCGTCGGATTTTGAACGCGTACGAGGACTGTGCTGTAGGGCCTCTTCGCAAAACTCCTCCCAATTTCGTAGAGAGCCTGTGGTTGTGTCAATCAAATGGGGAAACGAAGCACATCAATTACACTTGCTACTATAACTACTATTAGCTGGTCGTTGAATTTGTTGGCAGGCAAGAGAGTCAGATGTGTGGGTGGATGCGTCTCGCCTTGGCTCGTTGATAAAAACAGCTGATTGAACCCTTCAACTACCACGGGGCTCTCAACGTTTCGTTTCAGAAATGGATATTAACTTTAGATTGAACACTGGTGTTCTGGATCAAAAAATATCTACGGAATAATAGTGGTTTTACATTAAGTTTTAGATGGAGTTGCGTAGTAGTGCATGGAGCTCTTCATTGATGTACTGATTATTATTACTGTTAACGTATAGTTTTTCTTTATCTACTTGAATATACTTTTGCTAACTTTATTGTGCGCTTGTTTATACAAGGGCTTTTTTGTTTAAATAGTCTGTGTTAAATAACGAAATTCACGCAATAATAGCGATCTATTGTTATTCTTGTGTTCATGACTAGTTTTAATTTAAAAATATTTATATACTGATGCGTAATAAAAGTTATATCCTATAATGGCAGGCATTCAATGGCTGTTTTATTTTTCTTCGAAATATAACGATAAAAAATATATGCATATAACCGACCGTTCTGATAAATTGTTGTACTATTCTTTTAGGGGAGACGATTCCTCTCTACTTGATTTTTTTTCTTATAACGTTTTACATATAAGTGAGCAACACAGCACAAACAGTGCTTCGTTATTTCGCTTTGCGGAGAGCAGCACTATGTAGTTTTCATACGGAGACCCAGTCCCAGATTTAACCACTTGCACCGCCGGTAAACAGACAGATGAAACAACTTATATTACACTGTGTAATTCCCTTGGAGAGCATGAAAAAAATAGAATGCCACGAAGAGGAAATCAACGTGTCAAGGTCCATTGATGTTTAATCGTCGCCAAAATAATCTAATTATATGGGCTGAGTGTCAAAGCTCCAGTTTCGATCGAATATTAACCTAAATCTTAGCCGGTGTTAGGCATATAGTTTATAGTCTTACGATAAAAAATTTGTCATCAAGTTCTCATGAGTGGCTTACAAGGGAGATTCGACGAGTGGTCTGGACCAGCACATATATATATACGTATGCCAGCGTACATAACTAACTGAAATCAATTATCAATCCGTTGTCATGCTACAGGGTATGGTTCTAATGGACTTTGCGTGTTTTATTATATGTTTTGTAAATGCAGTACAAATAATCGGAGACCAAATCCCCAAACAGCCTTTTCGAGAGATTTACCTTTTCGCGGACTTTTCGCCAAGTTACCACCAGCATGTTGTCCGGGCAAAGTGAGCTTCAACCTATCAGGAGATCTCACTCCACTCGCCCCCGATGATGGGTAGCCTTGGCTGGCTCCACTCTTCGGCATTTCTCCAGTTGGTTGTTGTTGTTGTTGTTGTTGAATGTACGCTTCTAGTGGCGCAACATTAATGGGTGTCGTCGATCGCGGCCGCTCGAGCGGAATCGTGACAAGCTGTTGACGCTGGTGTGACGGTGCAACCGTCTGTTTTTGTGGGGTACGCGGTGCGGCAACAATGGCGATGTTGTCATCTCTCCTGCTTTTTGCGTTCTCATCTTCGATTTTTTCGGTAGGTGCTTCGTCTATTTGAACTTCCGGTCCACATGAATGTAGGCTCAATAGCTGTAGTTCGTAATCATCGTCGTCTTCTACATCAACCGAATCTTGGGCCGGTAGCAAACGCAGACTCTCGAAGCGATCGTCACTTGTCTGAGGGCGAAGTTTGCGTCTTCGCCGACGCGTGGCGCTTGCTCCGGCAGGCGAAGACAGGTCGGCCAAACCATCGTCGTCGGCGTCGGGCGATCCAATACGTTCAGGGGCGTAATCTGATAAACCAGATATCAGAAATTCAATCCATAGATTAGATATTGTTTAGACGTGGTGGATCGTCGTAAATGTGAGTTTCGAGCTTTTGTAAGTAATATTGACTTGATCCAAGCAAACGAAAACTCTTTATTTCTTCATTTGATATATCTTTAGTCTGTATACATCCTTCATTTGATCTTATAATTAAGCTTTTTTATTTGCGAAGTGGTATAGCTATTTTTCTATGCGTTACCCAAATTGCAACGCGCGCCTTGAGAATGCCATAATGCTATCTATAAAGTGACCTTGCTTCAATGCCAGCTCAAAGTCATCGAGCAGACCTAAATGCTAGTTATTATTAGTCTTAAATAACATTGAACGTGCCAGTGCTCACCTGTGTCCGATTCCCGATCGGAAACACCATTGTTCGTCCGAGCGGTTGATCCTGCCGGCAACAGTTGACTGCCTTCAGGCTGCGATCTGTCCTTGCAGGTGGGTGAGGTATCAAACGGTGCATCACCTGCTTCAGCGAGACTGCTAATAGGTTGATCTTGTTGTGTTTGCTGTCGTTGAGGTACTGAAGACGAATTCTTTCGAGAATGCGATGCGCTCGGTATATCCGCGATCGACTGGCATGATCTGAAATGTCCACGAACATCGATGAAAACAGCGCACCGGTGCTCGAACGAATTCAGCAAAAAACTCGTTTCATTGACTCACTACAGCTGTTGAAAAAGGCGATGTTACATCTTCTCGTACTTCTACGATAAGCCACGAAAAACGACTCAAATATATTTAAGTATAGCGATCATTATTATTATTACCAGTAGTATTTGAAGATCTGGAACTTTACACAAGTAACAACTAATGTATGTTCATACGGACTCATTGTCAGCACGAATCCGTTAACTGACCACGCTTCGCATCGGGGGGTAGCGTTATCTAAAAACGCAGTTTTTAATATAGCAGACCTGCTAGCTCGTATTCGAATAAAGAATCTAAACAAGTATGTATCGTGAGTACAGTACGGTATCGTATAGGGTATACTGACCGCAAATACATACGTTTATATTTCGTTGTATTAGTCACTAGCGGCGTGCATCCATATGTTTATTTTTTATGCATGAAAATATATAATTACTATAGCTAATAACTCGTGATTAGAGCCTCCATGCTGACTCATAATGATGATGATGATGCTGATCTCGTTTTTACGTGCTTGTACGTGAAGAAAAGAACTACAGCTGAACAAGCTATTATAGTACGAAGAGTGAAGACTGTTTGTTTTCGTAAAATTCATAGAAGATCATCAAGACACATTATATTTAGACTGTAAAGATCATTATCGTTAATAGAATATTAGGTCACATTAGGCGTTTAGCATACTCTAGAAGATCGTTCTTATGTTTTTATTTCGTCGTTCTAATGAATCTTCTTTGCCAATAATAAACATTCTTCTATAGAGAAGAAACAGGTATATATTGTAAAAAGCCTAAAACAAAATAAGCTTCATCAGCTAATTTGATATTCAGCATTAATTGTTGTAGTGGCTCCAATACAAACTCTTTCTATTTTACCTTAATTCACAGTAGAAATCTCTTTAACCGTTATGATGATAACCTAAAATACGATTTGTTTGTAAAACATTGTAAAAGAAGCCTTGTTGAAACATTGGTAACCTACAAGTTGATATGGACGAGCTTACATGAAATCGGGTGAAAGTCAATTTTCAGGGTTAAAACGACGTCAGGTTTACTCTCGACAGTATGCGAGCTTCATTGTACATTTATTTTCTTTTATTTTTCTACATTTTACCTTCCTACCAGTGTAGCAGATGTAAAAGTGTCAAATGGCTTTTTTGATTACCAGGTCACCTTCTCTCACCTTGTATCTAAATGAGCTCAAATATTCTTTCAAAAAAAAAAAACTGAAAAATCCTAAAAAAAAAAAATACTACCTGACTGACGCTCAGCTCAATCACCATGAAAAAGTGCTAAATGCGCAATGAAGACAGATGTTTAAACATGTCATCGAATAGAGTTTCTACCAAAAGCTATCCTGCACCCGAGTTCCGATCAAGCAAGTATGGCTGCCTTTCCAGATTGTTCCCAGTGACTGGAAGCACTTAGAGAACGTTTTGCTGCTTAACGTAGAAATCTACACGGTCCTCGTGTCCAAACACAAGCCAAAGCAACATGACTTCTATGAATTTATCACCTTAATTATATTCACTGTTCATTAACATCTAGTAAGGTATCGCATGTTTGATGAAGGCAAACGTGACAAGACTTAACAATCGTCAAGTTGCCTTCGCACCAAATTTCAGCAACAGACTTCATTCGGGCATCACTGATAACTGTTCAACTGGAGCTTCTCAGTCATCTGTGTGTCTCTGTTAAGTGAATACATGTTATTTGTAGTTGGCGCGTTTCTTACCCACCCCGCAACAATAGCGGCTGTATTCTTTGTTTGCGGGATGTGGCGAGGTTGCTTGTCGGACACCACATCGCTCGAACTGTCGCTGATGGTACTCCTATATATTCATAGCATGGATATATAAGAATCGTTTATATAAAGATAGGCGAGCAATTCGTTAAGGAATACTAGTTAATGTTTACTTATTCTATCTATACGAGTATTCAACAGACAGACGAGCAGGTGCTGATGCATATGGCGCTCACAGGCCAGGTCAAAAACATGGACACATCCGTTCGTGTATATATTTTGTGGACGTAAGCGTACATCCTCGGTATATCAAGGATTGCGAGAAAAAATTGAACGGATGAAAAAGTATAGAAACTAATAGGCGCTTAGCATGAAACAAATACCCTACGGATGCACTCTTCTTATAGACAACGATGACAAGACGCGTTTAGCTTACGTTCATGGTAGCATTGCGAGATACTATGCAATTCGTCAGTATGTGTACCAGTGCATACCATGCATGGTGTGGTAACTTTCATATAGCATATTACAGGTTTCTCCTCAGTTCAACGACGATTGCGGTTTATAGTAAATGGCTGATTATTCGAATAATGCATTTATTGAAGCAGAGTTCTAGGTAATGATTAAGTTAGTAAGTTGTCTTAGCAAAATAAATATAAACTTTATGCATTCCTTGGTCATTTTTGTGCAGATAGGACGTTCAGCGACTGAAAAAGTGTGCTTCGAAAAGCAAGCATTCGATTACTTCCAATGAAGATCCAATCTCCCCTCTTGTATAATTCCAAAAATAAGTGCTTCGAAGATGAAGTGCTTCCCTTTTGTTGCTAGATTTACACAAAAAAAAAGTTGGAGACAGTGCAGTCTGCATGTGTTTACAAGTGAGCGTAAATCAACAGCGGGCTGTTTTTCGTTGTCGAAGGTTACTCATGGATTTAAAAAAATTGGAGTAAAAAGAATGATATCTATCTTTATGTAGCTTTGTGTAAAGTTATTATTTGCTCTACCTATGTACCTTTCAAGTCGGGCAGATAACGGAATTCTTTCTTCTTCAAACTTTAAAAGCGATTCAAGTATCGCTTCCGATGTAATGGCTGTATCCGACGCCATACTGGCTGTTATTGTAGCGCCCGAAAATTTCTGCCCAGGAAACCCACTACCTTCACTCTGGTCAATCGAGCTGTCCTCGTGGGGTAAGCGTATCTGACAGTTTTTCTCGTGGATCATTGCATGAGTAACAGCCACTTGATCCGCCATAATTTCTTGGAAAGGAGGCTGTCCCTCGGGCGTATGCCTGGAGCGGTTGTCCATTTCGTGCACTTCCTTTTCGGCGCTTTCCTCTGCGTTCGTTACCTTGAAGACATCCTGTGCAAGACCATGTGTCACGATAGTCGTATCATGATACAGCAGTTCTACGATAAGGTCAACTAGAAATTACATTTTTCAGTAAGGTTCAACACGCGTACACAACTCGTCATTGAGTTACAGTCAGAGATTATTGACCATGGTATTGGCACCTCAAATGCGATGTACGACAATAATAAATTTAACACAATTCAATTCGTTTAACCTTTTACCTATCTATATCGTCTGGATAATGAAACGCCCCAGCTTTGCCTCTCTAAAGAAGCTAGGCAAACCCTCTGCTAGTAGATATCTTTTTGGTTCGTTTAACAAATCGTTCTGCTATAGAATAACATACACCTTTACTGGAGGAAAATTTTGTATTTTGCCGGGTCCATCCACAACGTCAGCTGCCTCTTCTTCCTCGTCCCTGTAGGAGCTTTCTTCAGTTACTGACGTCGTTAGAGAGGACTTTGTTCCTGTTGTAGGATTATGGCAGTAATGATAATCGGCCGTAGCTAGAGGATCAGTAACGACCAGCCCCGCTCGGAACCCTTGCAGAGGCGAAACGTTTCGACTGTCTGTAAAGCGAACAAGAAGACGGAACAACGAATGTACTTTTAACAATATCGATTAGCACCAACTTCAATAATCTATAAAAAATTAATCAGGTACGTTTTGATCCTTTTAGATTTTTTCGGTTACAGTAAATATTTATTTTAAAGAAAGAAAACCGACCTTCAGCTTCTGATTGAAGCCATCTGCTGCAAGCGCATATACTATTTTATTTGTAGAAAAATAGATGAACGTCCACACTTGATAATACTCTGATTGATCATACTAATAGTGATGTGGTACAATTACCTTAAACAGAGAACAAAAAAGGAGGCAACAGTTTCTGCAGGCTTCACTTGCAAACAGTATCGCCTGATAATTTGCAATGTATGATAGAACAACTATTGCGAGTCTGCTGAACTGGTAGTCACTGAACAGCAGCTAAAGCCACTTAGGGGAAATAGCTTAAGATCACATATGAACTATGCGATTAGGGGCAGGCCAATAACTTCCTATGTAACGTCTCTCACCTGCTGTCGGAGTGATCGTTATCTGTGAAACGATGTCGCTATCTGGAGCGACCGGTGTGGACAATTCGGAGTCCCCTCGACTGCCAGATTGATGTCCTGAGCGAGCACTGCCCAGGTCAAGACGTAAGTTCCAGTTCAGCCCACTTTCGACCGCAGCACCATTGTCTGCCGAGGACTGTATCTGTTGGACGGGAAGGTAGGGATCGAGAACGCTATCGCTTTATCGTACTGCAAATGGATTAATTATGGATGTGTTTGCTCAGAGAGGATGAAAAAGTGTTTAATAGTTAGATTTGATGCGCCTAGTAGCGTTGTGAACTTTGTGTGAAGGCTTCTTCTGGTAAACTGCTCGGCAGGTCTTGGCAGATTTGGCAAATATAACCGGTCCAAAAGGAGATATGCAGAATATGTTTATACATTTCTCTACAGGCTAACAACTGCTTACCGTAAAAAAAAAAAAAAAAAAAAAGAAATTTCAGTAGATGTCTATGGACAAACATCTCCAATTTGATGAAGATCATGACATACGAGACGTTAGGACAGCAGTAACTTTGTTTATATTTTCTACAAAACAACTCAACGAAGTCTGCTTTCCTTCATATTAGCACCCCACGGACGCTATAAAGTTCTGTATGAATTTCGAGAAAAAAATTGTTTTGTTAAAAAACTATTAGTGTATTGCAGAATTTTGTGTTTTAGTTGTTCATCTCCACGTATAATATTATGCAGATTTTTTAAACAATTTCTGTACTACAGTAGTTGTATAGTATATCAGGGCAGACAGGTTCCCCAATATGGTTGTTTGTATTTTTTTCTAGAATTTAACTTTTTTTTTTTCGTTACAAAGACTTTTATAGCAATGTCTGCTGATAGATCTAGCCACTCTTTCGTAAACCCTCTAGCAACGTCTGAAACATCGCTGGTTCAAATCCATCCACCCGCATGTAGACACAACACATGCGTAACCAAAGCAAGTAAATAATTGTAGTTTTTTTGTCGTCGTCTAGCTTCGGGTTTCATATTGTGTATTATTATCGGACGATAAGCACTATGACATATCTTTTTAGCATCCTCGTTCATGCGTGAAATCAATTGCACAATGCCAATAACAAACGCTGTTAGACAACGACCCCAGCCCCCTGATGCGCGAAAAGCCCGGGTCGAGAACAGCTCGCCATAATCAACCTTTTAGATAATACTATATGAAAGACGTCCAAGTAGTTTATGCAGACACCGCTTTCTTTGACAGTTATTCATTGAAATTAAAACGTTTTAACCAGTTTATCAGATCTTTCTATGAACAAATGCACGAGAGAAATATGCTTGACTTTTCATGATGCATAAGTGCAAGCTTTAATATTATGTAACCACAGCTGGTTTCGGTCCCGTCGATCGTATAGACTGAACAGCGGATGTGATGGGCAAAAAAAAATATTATACGTAGTCTTGGCAGCACCGTGACTTAGGATTAAGTCAGGACAAAATTTCATAGCTAATGCCGTAGGAGTATTTGCACGTGGTAGAATAAAAACAATCGGGAAGCTCTCATAAGCCTGATTGCGAGGCATTCATAGTATGGCCAGTCATCATATAAAAATCTCAATGAGTTTATATGTGTAGTATCAAATAAGAATTAGTTATGTTTTATACCGTCGATGAGACATATACCGTCTGAAAATCGTTGCAGATTTCTAGAGCACTATCGACTCTTCACACAAAATGGCAAAAAAACTTGTTGTAAGGGTAACGTATAATACATTTTAGTTTGTCCACTTATAGCAGACGAAAGTGGTAAGTTGTTAAATCGAGTTGTGTACAACTCAGCCATTTAAGGGACAGGAATATTAGCTTTATATTGGGTAATGTCCAATAGCCTAATTGTTACAAGCGAAACTGGCGGACTTTTAAACAGGATCATTTTTCGAATCAGTTAGATTAGGGCGATAACTTAATAATATGTTTTGAAAGTGTGCTCCTTTATTTTCCACACATTTGTCCTAGCACTCCGGTGGCTTTTGGACAGTCATATACTTACCATTTGCTTTGCCGTGTATAATTTCTCTATTTATGACTTCTCAAAATAAATCGATAGTGGAATATGCTTGGCTACCATTCATCTTGTTTCGGGCCCGAAAAGCCTCGCAATCACACAGAGATAGATCGAAAGAGCGGGCTGTAACCAGCCTTGAGTTCTCCCTTGTTCGATTCAGGCAGTGATTGAGGCGTGGCGATAAGGTCTACCATTGTTGTGAAGTAACTCAACCGTGTGCTTTCGATTGCCACGTTAGCCCTCCTCTTGAGGAACTCGAGATGGCGAGCTGTACTCGGCGAGTGCCTCGTAGGAGCAGATGTCCCTGATGTCCATCACAAGTACTATTATCAGTTTTGGTCCGAACCTACTCGATCGTGCCACCGAACTTGATTGCTTCCAAGATGACGCCCTTCTGTGGCCCGGTATCTTATCAGCTGACGGTAAAAGGTCATGCTTCCGCTATAGCGAGCTTGTACTTCAGACAAATTTTCTATTGACTGAAATTCCGCGATTTTCACACAAAGTACACCACAGGCGTTTTCAACTGGCCTTGAGTCTATTCATCTTCCGCATTTTCAATGTTTGAGTTATAATTCTGTAACACGCCGCATGTGGAATGCCAATTTTAGCCAACAAAGCCTTTAGACTTCAGGTTCTATTTTCATGAAAAGGCTCATCAATTGTAGCAGCCGGTTCCTGTCCTTCAGAAGCTGACATCTGGTCCCTTCTTGCTGGCCTTCAACACTCCAGTCTCTATTTTTAAAGAGTTTGCAGCGCTTACCTGCTGTGCTTTCCGTCAAAGTCTCCTTGTGTAATGTCTTTGCCAGGCCTTCAAGGAGCAAAAGCTTGACCGCTAACTATTCACTCTCGATATTAAAATAAGTATTTCCTTTCTGACCGATTTTAATTAGCAAGTCTCTATTCTAAGACTGGGGTATTTACTAACCGAATTTCATCTCAAAGGTTATTTAATCTCAAAGTCCGCCGGATTCGCTTGTCCGCTACAAAGTATTCCGGTATCTAAGAACTACCGATGATATACGCCAGACAAAACCAGCATGTGCTTGCGCAATTAGTCTCACATACATTAAAATAATAAATTTATATGTACTTACAACACGCATACAAAAAGCCCCTCATATGAGACACAAGAGAGACTTCATTTTCAAGTGCTTTAAGAGCATACTTCTACCCAAGCACGCATATGTGGCCAGATCCCAGTTTCGTCTAAACACATATATGTATATAGCATTTCGGCTATATACAAACTTTGGCTACCTATTCGAGACAAAAAACAATTTCTTTGTGGCGTCGTGCTCGGAATTTAAGCGGGTATTAAAATCCATCAAAAAGCTCAAAAGTTATTTTAAATACACTCAGGTTTTTAATTTGCGGCTGTTTTAGATATCAACTGCGAAATGGATCATATCGATTAGCTCCAATATATAACTTTGTAGGCCTCATTGGACTTTGTGGTAATTTTCAGCCCCTGTGTGTTTGATACCATTGGCTTGCTATAAGCCCAAAATTTCATTTTCTTAAAACATTTTGCACGTTGCGTACCTGAGCGTCATTTTGCCAAGTTTACACTTACCTGGACGCTTGATCATTATTATTAAAAGATATTCGCGGGTAAGAGAAGGAATACTTTTAAAATAACTAGCCCGCAGTTTAAAGCTCGAATTGAAACTGTAGTCGTGGTGGATGGCGGTTATATTGAATAATAACGATCGATGAGAATGACAACTATAGCACATGCGAAAGGTTCGTCAAAAAATTCCTATTTTTGTTTGCAGAAAGCCTCAGAGGCGAGGTAAGGCAAAAAAAATCTTATAGTTATACGCAATATACTGCTAATAATGGCAGACTACTGATTCACAAACTTCAATAAATATATCGTTGTGTGTTGTAAGGCGCACTTTCTTAATTGCGATTTTTAAATTTCGGATCGGGGTTCGGCGTTCTTTGTCCGACCAATCTCTTTGGGAGATTGGCATAAGGATGTACTTTTACCTCATGTTGATAGTGTGCATGTGCTCCGTTCTATTGGAAATAAAATTTGCTGTCTCCGTCGAAATCTTCCCAAAGGACTGGTAAAAAAAAAGGCTGTTGCATAATTCAAGCAACTGGCGCCAGGTGCTCTACTATCAACAGTTCAATAAACCCTTTTCCTGCAACTTCTGGCTAAACTTGTATGCTATTTTTGCGTAACATGTCGATTTACAGTTGCCCTGTAAGCCCCATTATGTCGATTAATTACTTGCTTCAATCTGAACTTCGTTGTTCCGAGCGATCTTCCTTCAGATTTACGCATTTTGTTCAAATCCTTCCAAGCAGTATTCGCAAGATTGTTTTCTTCAGTCTGGATCATCTTTACCAAAAAAGCAGCATTTTTCGAACGTAACTTCTTCGTTTACAATGTCTTCGAATGCGATTTGCTTTTGCTAGCCTCATGGTCTAATTGATTCTCCCTGCTATACTGTTTTTGTGTGTTTCTGCTGGATTAACAATAACATTCGAAAATAATTTTTTTTGCTCCAAATTTGAGTTTCATCCACTTATTGTTTTCATTTAATTACACTTTAAAATAGTTTTATTATTTTTGGGATCACCTGTATATA